AGAACAGGGAGACAGGTACAGGGGGTGAAATGGTACGTTTTCGGCTAGTTATGTTATGTGATGAAACCACAGAAACAAAGGAATGTTGCTGTGAAGACTCTCACATCCTCCCCATCCTGATTTGTATATCAGAGATTTTGATCAGTAAAATAACCAACGATTATATTAGTATAGGAGTATTAATAAAGTCATATAATAGGATGGACATTGTAAATGTCAAAATTAATAGCGGGCATAACATGCATGCTCACATTAAAATATGTTAAAGATCATGACTTTGCAGAAAAAGGATATAAAAAAATGTTGAATTTTAGATGTAACTCAAGCACATTGGGAGGAGCCATCCCCCGTGCTTCCCAGCGCTGCGGTACAGTGCCAGCTTCTCTGCCGCGACGTGGATAAGTCTGTCGTGATGGCGACACTGCCACGACCTGCCCCCAGCTGCGTGTATTAATGTCCATTGTAATGGATTCTCTCGCGGCCTCATCGTGGATTTTCCTCCTCCCTGTAGCTGGCGGAGGCCCTGGAGCTGTTCGAGGTGCAGATGCTGAAGGAGGAGCGCCTGCAGCCGGCAGAAAGCAACTACACGGTTCTCATCGGCGGCTGCGGCAGGGTGGGCTACGTGAAGAAGGCGTTCAGGCTCTACAACGACGTAGGTTGACGTTCTCTCCTCTCAAACCTTCGTTATGTCTCTGAGCTACAGCCGTTTCCAAGCCTTTGCTCACGTTACTTTGTCTCCAGAACGCCTTTGTGTTGGTGTTTGCACCTTCTTAGCCTGAAACTTAAAAAAACAAGTATAAGAAATTCTAAAAGTCCTTTCCTAAAAAGCCGGTTCTAATTCTTCTCTTCCCTTAGATGAAAAAACGAGGCTTAACTCCCACCGAGGCCACTTACACAGCCCTGTTCAACGCCTGTGCCGAGTCACCCTGGAAGGACTCGGGCCTGCAGAGCGCCCTCCAGCTACGGCAGCAGCTGAAGAGCAAAAACGAAGAGCTGAACCTCATCACCTACCACGCGCTGCTGAAGGCCTGTGCCCTGTGCTCGGACCTCAGGCTGTGCTTTGATGTACTGAAGGTAAATACGTGACTTGTCTCACATCAAGTGCAGTCTGCCCTGGTTGAAGCGCCTGGAAGCTGCTGTGTTGTACAGGCTTTTTTATTGCGCTTCCAGCAGAGGGGGTTACGTGTTTATGTTTCATTGATCCTTGGTCTCAGATGACAAAATTGTCTTGGGACGCACCAAACCTTGGTCTCGGACAACGAAATTGTCTTGGGACGCACCAGACATTGAGCTTGAGTACACACAAGGAGGCAGCTGCAGCAGTTGGCTTTAAAACTCCGGTCAGATCTGTGAAAAGAATTAACGAAGGTTTTGTGGGGTTCACGGCTACTGTGTCTGTCTCAGTTCGTTTTGAAGACCCACCTATTGACACCCAGCTCCCTTCAGAGCTCTTACAGCAGCTCTTCTCAGAAGGACCGGTCTGGGAACAGCTAAAAGGATTGCTTTCCTGCCCCCAAATTCCCTGTAGCTCCCACTAGGGAGAAGCCAGGATCTGCTCACAGCACTGGGAGTTCACCCTGTGTGTCCCCAGCATACAACAGGTATTTGAGCTTCACAGCCAGCTTGGGGAACTGGGAAGTTTAATGCTCTCTCTGCTTTTTTTAGGAAATTGTGCACAAGGGCCACGTTCTGACAGCCGAGACCTTCAGCTTCCTTCTCATGAGCTGCATAAAGGACAGCGAAAATGGCTTCCGATACGCCTTACAGGTTTGTCTTCGTGTTCTAAGCGGGGAGGGAAAAGTGCTTCCGTGTTGTAGCTCGTCACGTGAAGGCACGGAAGGCAGCAGGTTGCTCAGAGCTGATGAAACAGGAGGAGTTCAGCTCCTGTTCTGTAAACTACCCTTCCATCAGGGCGTTCTGTGCACCGGTAAACCGCCCTGGATGGTCTCTTCACTGTCCAGGGGCATCTCCCTGCTGTAAACTCGCTCCTTTTCTGCAAGCGAGGTAACAGAGGTGCTCAGAGTCTGCTAGAAACACTCCTGGTATTTAAGGTCCCCTCCACCTGGTGTTCATCTTCTCCTCTTCAGGTCTGGAAACAAATGACTCAACTTGGAATAAAGGGCGACAGCCACACTTACAATCTGCTGCTGCGTGCTGCGAGAGACTGCGGCATCGGCGACCCGGCCGTGGCTTCTGAACTCCTGCTCAGACCCCCCCAGGAGAGCTCCTCCCAGCTGAGGCTTCCCCCCGGGGGGCAGAAGGTGAAAAACCAGAGGAAGAAGGAATCGAAGAGTGCAGCTCCTGTCCAGCTGGATGTGGAAGCCCTGGAAAAGCAACTATTTCAGGAGGGGTCAGCGCAGCCTGAAGAACTGATCCGACAGCAAAATAAAGACGTGACTCAGGCTGAACCCCAACCAGCGGCTCCCAGCAGCCCCAGCGTAGCTGCCGGCGGGACTGGGGCGTTGATGAGGAGAGGGCAGAACAAGGTGGAGCAGGAACAGGCACGTCTGAGCCAGAAGCTGCGTCTCTGCAACCTGCCCAACTTGCTGGATTCCAGGATGCCTGACGCAGCCGTGGTTTCCTTGGGGACAGTGGCCACCCGGTCCGATCGACTGGCTTTGATGGGGGACGTGGAAGGCTTCTTGAATAAAATGAAAGAGGACAATGCAGAACCCAACATTAAAACGTTCACGTTGCTGGCTGAGCTGGTGGAACCCCAAAGCCCCTCGGAGTCCTCTTTGCTGGCACTCCTGGCTGAGCATAAGGTGAAAGTCGATGTGACCTTCTTTAACACTTTAATAAGGAAGAAAAGTAAACGGGGAGACCTGGAAGGAGCAAAGGTGAGGAGAAACAACTCAGAACCAGCCCTGTCACCACGTCCTTGTCTCAGGCCTCTGGTGTTCCCTGTGTTTCACCGAGACCTGTTTCTGTACCCGCAGTAGAAACCGGGGATCTCACACCGGTTTCCACAAACCAGTGCTGGGTTTCTAAGTGTTTATGGATTCTGTTGTAGCACGTTCAGCTCTCTGGAAAGCTACCGTGAGACTTTTTGGAAGCTGATGTCAACCCTTGTGTCTTGCAGAGCGTGCTGCCAGCTCTGGTGAAGCAGGGGCTGTCGCCCAACATCCAGACCTTCTGCAACTTGGCAATCGCTTGCTGCCGAGAGCAGGATGGACTGCAGTTACTCTCGGATCTGAAGGTAATCAAAAAAACCTCTGCTGCTTGGGGTTCGAGCTGCAGGAAGAGGCAAAGTGAAGCGTTAATGCTTCTAAAACAACCTGCTGAGGGTTCTGTGGTGAGTGGGTGCGTCCTCGTTTCAAAACGGCACAGCTCTGTCCTGCAGCTGCACGGGGACGGGAGCGAGGTGATGGGGAGGGGTGTGCTGGCACTGGGGGAGCTGGCACTGGGGGAGCTGGCACTGGGGGAGCTGGCAGGCAGGTCGCAGAGCGAGCGCTGTGCTCCCTGTGCCAGAAGCGCCCAGGCGCCTTCTGCTTCCACCGGTCCCGCGCCGGGCGGCAGACGAACCGCGGCGGTTCTTGTCCCCAGCGGTCCGGAGTGACCCCCAACAAGCACATCTACAGCACCCTCATCGCTGCCGCCGTGAGGCAGCTGGATTACAGGTACCTCACCGAGATCCTGCGAGACATGAGGAACAACCAGGTGCCTCCCAACGAAGTGATCATACGGCAGCTGGAGTTCGCAGCACAGTACCCGCC